ATATTTCACAATATAACTGTTGATGACCCAGCATAAAATGTACTTATTTTGAGAAATCACGCTTTCTTCTTTTCGTAAAACAAATAAGTTCGATTTTCATTCAAATGAAATTTTTTTGATAACTATAAGAGTTCGAGAGCTGAAACTTAGTATTTGTCGATAAAAATGATTTTTTCACATCATGGATTGTATACTTTTGCCACTTTAACAGCAGTTCTCTTGGTTTTGGCCATTAACCTAAAAACTTTGAGACTCGATAATTCGATAATAGTAGAATCAAAAGTCTTCATTCATTGACCGAAAATGAGATTTTGCTATGAACTATAAAATGTGGAAATACTTAATTATTCAAGCACCTACAAATAAAGTTATAGCATTTTATTAATCATGTTACAAAATTTTATACTTGCTTTTAAAGGCAAATGGTTACTCAAACAAAAATAATATGCGTTAGGAGGATATTCATTATTAAATGAATTAGCTAAGATTTTATTGTGTAACGAGTCATGTTCTATTATAGTCCATAGCAAAGTCAAATAGTTGGCAAGAGATTGGTGCTTGTAGATGGTACCAATCTCGAAATATTGAGTCTCAAAGTTTTGAGGCAAATTTGCGAAATCAAGAGAACTGTTGTTACCTTTAATAAAGCATTCAATCCACAAGATGCACCAACCGTATTTACACATGCATGATGAGTTTAAGCTTTTTAACTCTTTCAGTCACCGAATAACATCGATTTAACAGAAAATCGAACTTATTTGTTTTACGAAAAAAAGAAAGCGTTATTTGTCAAAATAAGTGCATTTTATGGTTGGTCATCAACAGTTATATTGTTGAAATATGTTTGATGGAAAAATCCGCTTCCATTGCTGGACAAAAGGCGATCGAAGTTTTAACTTTGACTTCGATTTTCCTAGAAAACTGTCCATCGTCTAAATTATTTAATAGCAGCAATAGACTCAGTTTCCATGTCCCTACAAACCCACCAAGTTTCAAAACTTAACTTAAATTTTCGCGTCTTTGACAGTTCTTTTTACATTATACTTTTAAGTTTAACCAGAAAAATGCTTTATTTACCAAGAGAATGAATAAAATGAGTTTAGTTTGATAAATAAGTTGTTTCTCGACCATTCAAAAGCCAAAAGTTATGTTCCAAACACGCTAATGGGACATAATTTGATCTGATTGCATTATTAGTTAGTAAAGGATTAGATTTATGAAAGAATAATGATTGTAAGTTATGCCATTCTCGAAATATTGAGTCTCAAAGTTTTAAAACGAATGACCAAAATCAAGAAAACTGTTATTAAATTGATAAAAGTATTTAGTCCATGATATGAACCATCAAATGTTATGGACTAACAATAAGTTTCAGCTCGATAAATCTTACTATTGCAGAAAGAGATCGGTTTAGATCAAAATCGAACTAATCGGTTTAACAGAAAAATAAAAGTTCTGTCTCACGAAATAATTGCATTTTCTGGTTCGCCATCTAAATTTACATCGTTAAAATGAGTTTTATGATCAAAGCTGCTTCCGCTATTGTACAAAAAGCGATCGAAGTTGAAACTTTGAAATGGATTTCCTCGAAAACTGTTCACCCGAGAAGCTTTTAAATCTTAAAAATGGACTCAGTTTTTCTGTCTTTACAAACTAACACAGTCTAAATTTGAACGAAATGCATTTTTACACGTTTTCGCCCATTTGTCTCAATTCTTGTATAAATGTGATGATGTTATTAACTTATTGCTATTTACAATGTTAGTCTTTTGCTATTGCTTTTGCTGTTTGTATTAATAAATTCTTTTGTTGACTTGCGAGCTCTTAGTTATGAAAAGATTATTTGGCGAATCGAAACATGACCTATGAAGACCATAAGAAGGAAATTTAGGCATTTAAATAGAACTAACATTGGAAATGTTTTTTAGATGTTTCACGCGTGCTTCGATGAGAATGATTTTTGGTGCAGATAGTAAAGTATAAGTTATGTCTATTATATTATATCATGTAACTCTGACTTGTGACAGTCTTAGCCAAAACATTAATCAACGAAATAATCGCAATCAGTACAAATTTGTAGTTGAAAGAAAATGAAAGACATTTTAAGTTTAAATGAGAAAGCGAATTGAAAGCAATGAAGAGAAAGATCAATTGTCTAGACGAACAAATTTTGAACCTTTTCGTTCCGCAAACAGTTTCCTGGGATCCTTATATTAAGCTGAGAGTAAATCCTTATTAAAATATCATTGCAATCAATTTCAATAATTGGGATTCTCTCATGCAACGGCCATTTCGATTCATAGATTCCATTAATATTATTCGATTGAACGGTAAAGTCTATTTTGAATCAAAATCCAATGGATACTGCAGACAATAGTCGATGGAAAAAGATGTTTTGACCGAAAAAAAACATTGGATGTAACTCATATCAGCATTCGCAAATCAACGCATACATTAGCACAAACCGTTTCAGTTGAGCGATCAGTCAGGTGATCGTAGACATTTTAACTTGAAAGTGTGAAAGAGCAGGAATCAACTTTCTAGACAAACAAATTTTAAACTAATATTTTCCCTAGGAAACAGGATTCTTCTGGAATCCTTATCTCGAACTGAGAGGCAGTCGAATTCAAAAATTAGTTTATTCTTCTGGAACGGCTATTTCGATTCATAGATTCCACTAAGATTAAACTCGTTTAGGCGCCTCACTAAACAAGGAGGTCTTCTCCATTTACCGTACTCTTTTAGCGACTGAATGTGACGTACGATATTATGCCTGGACGGTAAAAGATTATAACTTTCAATTAGCTGCTTTGTAGCAATTAATTATGCTGAAAACCGGACTCTTTCCACCATTGATTAGATGCTGAGTTCAAGTTTTTAACAGTCAATCGATTAGTCGATGATGCAAAAATGTTTATTTTTAATAAAAAAAGACATTGGAAATACAGTGAAACTCTGATCTCAGTGTTCTTCAAAATATAAATCATTTATTTATCAATAAGTAAATTTTTTCAATTTAGGTTTTAACTAGTTGATTGTATAGTTTCTTTTAATTGTGTGATGTTATGCAGTTTAATTCTGTATATTTTGATTTTCCGTTAGCCTAGATATCCTGTAATTTAGGACGATTCATAACAGAGGACTAATTGTTTGAACTGTAAATTGCAAATTAAGTCACTCTTCAAGTTTATTCAAGTGTATTTTTGTTTTGCTTTTTATTGCATTCAGTCCAAAGTGTATTATAATTACTCTGATGAATTACTTTGGTTTGAATTAACGAAAAGAGATAAAATGCCTTCCCATGCATTTTAAGTTGATGCATGAGAAAGCAAATTGGAAGAAAGTGTGAAAGAGCTAACTGTCTAGATGAACAAATTTTTAACCTTTTAGATTTCGAAAACTGTATCCTGGAATCTGCATTTTAAGCTGAGAGTAAATCCATATTAAAATTACTTTGCAATCAATTTCAATAATTGAGTTCCTCTTCTGCCACGGCCATTTCGATTCGTAAATTCCATTAGGATTAGGCTCTTTATGGCACCTCACTGAACAAGAAGGTCTTCTCCATTCACCGTTCTTTTTTCGCGCACGATTGTGGGTATCGATAGCACGATTGGATGAAAAACGCCTAAAACAATACGGGCACCTATACTTTACTTCTGCATCCACAGCAGCTTCTTTTCTCAAACCGTACATCTCGCGTCTCAGAAAGGCTTCAAATTGTGGTCTGCTAATGATACGAGGCCTTGCAAAATTCTGACAGAAAAAATAAAATAAAAATCAATAATACGAACAAATTAAATAAACATAAGACTTACATCTGTGACATTAGATCCATCGAATTTTTCAGGATCAATGTTTGGGTCTGTGATTTCGAATAAATCAACATAACCTGTATATTTATTCCATTGAAAGAAATAATCACGTCGTGAAGGCAACGAGCACAATTTATCAAGAGCTTGTAATACGTCTTCAATTAAATGCGGATATTCGAAGAATACTTTTTCTTGAATAGTGACCCGACTATGCACTGGATTATTAACTGGATGATTTTCAGTATTTTGGCTTTTAGTTGTGTTAGTTTGCTGATTTAAGGTGGAAATTCTACCTCGACTCCTAGTTTTTGTGTTTTGTTTTTGCTCTTTACCACGTCCACTTACTGTTGCTCTTTCTTTTGGAGAGCCCTTCTTTTTATTACTATTTTTCTTATTTTTAACTAGGTAGCGTTGAGCAGCTTTACGAGGAGATAATTGTCCTGTAGGTTGAGCTGATATTTCTTTTGTTTTATTATTGTCATCTGAGTCATCTTCTTCCATAGCTTCATCATTGTCTTCTGCTTTATCTCCAGCAGCTTCGTTCCCACCTTCTGGCTCTTCTGGGTTAAAATAATCTTCATTTTCCTCTAAATCGACATCTTGATCTGCTAGATTTTCATTTACTTTTTCATGGGGCGATTGGATAAAAGGATGACGGTGAGCAGCTTTACGAGGAGGTAATTGTCTTGTAGGTTGAGCTGATGTCACTCTTGTTTTATTATTGTCATCTAAATCACCTTCTTCCATAGCTTCATCGTTTTCTTGTGCTTTACCTCCAACATCTGAAAATCGTC